CCCTTTCTTTCGCTCTTATTTTAAATTTTCATTCGGAGCTCCAAAGCCTCTGCGTGATTCTTTGCTTCAATCGTGAATCATTACAAGCAAAGGAATGAGTGAAGAAGCAAAGAGGATGGTGGGCGGAGCAGCTCCGGCAGTTGCCAAGTCACTCTCTGATGATCGGAAGTCCACCTCCGGTTCGGCACCGACCTCCTCTGCTGTCGGAAAGAAAGTCATCATCAAAAGCGCAGATATGAAGGAAGACATGCAGAAAGAGGCCGTCGACATTGCCATCGCCGTAACTTTCTCTTTCTTTCTGCCTCTGAAGCTTAACTTCAGTTACCAAACGCAAAAGAAAAAAAAAAAAGGAATAATTAAGGAAGAAAATCTTTTGCCTTTAATTTTTCTTTTTATTTTAATTACAGGCTTTTGAGAAGAACGGTGTGGAGAAAGATGTAGCGGAGCATATCAAGAAGGAGTTTGATAAGCGGCATGGACCTACTTGGCACTGCATTGTCGGCAGAAATTTCGGTAATTAACTTTACTTAATCTTGCTTTACTTTTCCATTTTTTTTAAAATATTTTTATTTGAATTATTGCGGAAAATTGAGAAACTTTTATAGACGAATGCTTCAATTTATCAATTTGATCGATTATTATGAACTTGCTCACTAAATTTATGTGTTGTTAATACGTAGTTATGATTCGTGAGTTTATATAGAGTTGGATCTAGGTTTATTTTATGTTGGAAGTTCAAAGGGAGCGAGAGAGGAGGAGAGCGTGAAGGAGTGTAAATAAAAGCCTAATCAACCCGGACAATAGAGTGTTCAAGAATGGTTTGGTTGTGTTAGTGAGCTTCGAATTGCATCTGTGAGCTTGGCTTGGGTCGATTATAGTTGAGCTGAGGTTAGATGCATTCATCACGTTGAGCTCGTGTATCTTGATTAAGTGTACATGTTGATTTTTTGATTGTTATGCTTTTGTACACGAGCTTAATAATTTTTTTAACAGACACTGGATCCTGAGTCGGGATTGGTTTGATTAGTGAACAAGCCAATGTAAAATAAGCTCTTGTTGGGCTAAATTCAATTCAAATATCGGGTATCTTGTTTTGTCTTTCTAGCGAGGTATCTTGGGGTTTTGGTGAGGCGAGAGGGAGGAGTTTATGAATGTGTTGGCTATTGAGTTCTTGCATGCTCAAAGAATCTGGTAGAGGCTTAGTGTGCTGCTTCAGTTTAGTTTTTGTAGATATTTGGTGCTTAAAGTTGTTCCAGGGAGCTGCATAATATAGAAGGTAAGTTTTGCATGAAGCTTTTAAGGGTATGTTGGCTTGTAATTTTTATTTCAAAAATCTTACGAGTTCAATTCATGCTTTAAAATGGTGGTTTCTCAAATGTTTGATACTTCTTAATTGTCTATATCAAGAATTACCTCTATATTTGTCTAAATTTCGGCTCGGCAAAACTAACCAGTTCCTGATGGTTCTAAGAGAAAATCATGCAAAGCCTTCAAGGTTTTTCCAAAGCTGAATTTTCCTCACTAAAACTTTCCTTTACTCCTTTGTCCTTTCTGCAGCTGTTGGCCAAAAAACATGAAATATATGTGTACCACTGCAACATTCTGGTTCTGGAAAGTAGCTACAGTTCCTAAATGAAAACATTGATTTGGAAGCTTGGGGCTTGTCTTACCGTTTATGCCACTTTTCAGTTTTAAGTTGTTAGACTGCATGCATCATTTCAAAATTCTACATCTTCCTGCTTCTATAAGGTATGATGCTAAAGATTCCTGAATGCTTTTGCCTCTGGATTTGATGTCTACTTTTTACGTGGAAAACTGTATTCTTTTTTATCTTCTTACCATATCTTATCGTTATAAGATCTTAAGAATACTTATTCCTGTCCAGAACAGTGGAGGGGTGATATACCTCTTAAAAATGGATGTTGCATGGACAAGATGGTTCTTATTTGCTTTATGGTCCCAGTTTGTCAAATAGTAGACAATCCGTGTTTGCCGCGCATGACTTCGTTTAAGAATTAGCTGTCTTGGTTAGAAATGCACTTTACATTTCAAGCTAACTTGACCTTTTAGAGGGAAAAAGAATGATGTTATGACATTCGGAATGATCCCCTCTAGGACAACAAGCCCACAACCATTAGAATAGGAAGAAAAACAAATAAGCAAGATCAGTCTTCTCTGTGTGTTTACCTATGGATCCTAGAAAGTTCTTGACTGTGTCACTATGTTGATCTACCTGAACTGACCACCATCACTTCCTGGTCTATTTTCTTCTTTCTTGTAGGTTCTTATGTGACTCATGAGACAAATCACTTTGTTTACTTCTATTTGGATTCAAAAGCTGTACTTCTGTTCAAATCTGGCTAAGTGTGGTGATATTCAACAGTGGTTGCTAATCATCACGGTTACAACATATCTTGTAGTTGTATGTAAGATTCAAAGACTTTAGAGTGCAGAATATTGAGAGGAACATTCATGTACTTGTATATTTGTTTTGACCTATGTTGTCTGTGTCTGAACATCAGAGGACTTAACTGCACTATGTCCACATTTTGTTTGACATTTGCTTGTCAACCAACAAGAAGATGGAAGGAAGCAAATAGAGCATGGTCACTGTGAACAAAGGGAGTGAAACACCATTATTCATATTTGTGCTAACATATCGATGATTTTTTTTTTGCTTTTAGTCCCAGTGACCCTCGTTGCCTTGATTTTCAGGTTCTGAGGTTAAAAAAAGTTATTTGACCTCTAGACTGAACTTGCCTTCTCAGGGGCTAAAATGGTTGAAAGTTGATACTGCCCTTTATCTGTGTTGTGGAAATGGAACGTTGTTTAAGCCTGCTTTTGTTACTCAGATTCCTTGGATCGATGTGTATTGCCGCCTAAGTTCCTGGTGTCATGTTGCCATGTAATACTTCCAGCCTGCTTAAAATTATCTTTCAGTTTGGAAGTCCAATGAGATCCTTGATACAGATACGAGAGCTTGCCAAGCGCGTTACTATAACCAAGCATAGCTGCTATATTACCGAACGGAAGGCCATTAAAACTGGCAATTCACACAAATAAATGAAGAAATTCGTTTGAGGATGCTTTCTCATAGCTGAATCGCATTTGGCTCTTAGGTTGAAGTATATATATGATCACTAAGGGTGAAGTCTTTTTGATTGTAAATATAGAGCAAGGGTAGATTTCCAGTGCGTCGATACGGCTCGAGTGCTCGACCCTTGCAATTTTCTACTTCCGTTTTATTCAACTGAACTCCTCCATGAATAACAAATGTTTTCATTGTTGCGGACGGGAGTACACTTCCTATTATTATAATCAGAACAGTGTCAAAAAAGAGATACAAAGATGGGTTGGGACTTTTTTTTTTTTTTGAGAAAAACCACAAAAAAAAAAAAAAAAAGGGTTGAGACTTGAGAGTACAATGGAAATGAAAAGACGTGCTCTTAATAAGTTAATTGACATCGGGATACCGAAATTCCAAGCTGGGCCAAAACTGTCCCTTTCCGAAGGAAGATCTTCGTGGACCAAACCCCACTATATATAGTGGAGTTCTGCAAGGTGAACCCAAAAGATTCCAATCGAAGAGTGTATGAGAATCTCTCTACCTGGAGTTGGGTTAGGAACAAATATCAGTCGAATTATATATTGTTATTTCCAATAATAACATTAGATGGAGTATAAAATTTTTCACAAGCTGTACATTGTAGGTGGTTCTATTAAATTAAAATATGTTGCCAAATGACGAAATCTGTTCAGTCAATTGACACGTAGCGTGAAAATTGATGTTTAAAAAAAAAAAAAAATACTCCATTTTTACTGGACATATGTTGTTGGACTTTAAAGTTGCCAAAATTTTAGACATTTTAATCTTTCTGAAATGGTTGCATGGGCCCCCTGACCCCTTGGCCCTTGTTCATCCTTGTCTCCCACAGAGAATCAAATCACATTTATGGTTCTAAAGCCTCGTGGGCACACAGAATGGTATAGATTCTATGGTCCTTCTGTTTTGGATTCTAATTGATGACCTTGCTTTGAAGTTCTAAATCCTCTGCTCCACCTGCCTGCCTGCTGCATAAAAAATAAATAAATAAATAAAAGCCAAGAAATCCGTAGCTCATTACTCTGTCTTTCTGTATTTTCTTCTTTCTTTTTTGCGTGGGAGCTTGGCATGAATTGGAAAAAAAAAGAAGGAAGGGTGGAAGATGAAGGAAGGCGCGAGAATTACACACACCTTCGTTTACTTGGTGTGCGAGATAATGTTGGATTGCCTTGCCTGCCCCTGTGAGCCAAATGAGAGGCGGTCAAAACGGTCCACGTCGATCGATGTTAATCGGGAGCCTTAAGAGGTTTGAAGGAGCTAGAAGCAAAATATGGGGAAATAAGCGCTTTTTGGGTTGGGCCCCGTTATTCCTAATTAGATAATCATTCTCTTGGGAATGCAGACCCTCCCCAGAATGGGCATGGGCACCCACAATTGCCAGATATTTGATTTCGCCCACTCACTCGTTGATTTATGTCTTCTTGTATCCTCCAGTCCACAATGCTTATGCTTATCCTCCGCAATAATTCTTTCCACAGATTTGGTACCTCGTAAATGAGAATGAGAAAGCCAGCCATCTCTTCCAGTCAATAATTTAAAGGCAAAAACCCAAACCCAAAAAAAAAAAAAAAAACTAGATATAAAGCAAAAGACAAAAAGAACCACCAAAAACTACAGGTGAAACAATCATCTGTGCCCTGTGTCCCCAACAACACCGAATAGAGGTCCTCCCAAGTACACACACAGACACACACACTAACTAAGGCATAGTCATGAAGCCCTGTTTTTTAAAAAACAAAAAACAAAAAAATTATTTAAATGGTATGAATCTCACAAGTTCTCCAAGAAAGGAAAAAAAAGCAAGCCTAATGTTTATCATAGGTAACAGGGCACCATTAGTCTTAGTTTATTAGCGATCAGGCAGAACACAAATCTAGGATTACTCGCACTGATAAGATTTTAGATGGTCAACCCTTGAAACAAGATAGACATCCCAATCAACAACAGATAAGATGTATGCGTTTCCTTACCTACATTTGACATTGAACAGTAGCAGCAAGTAAAACGCAAACAAATATTCCTAGTCTCTCATCGTGGACATTACATGGCCAAAAAGCCAATCATGTTCTTGCAATCTATTTGCCAAAACCAAAACCAAGAGCCTTCTTAGCTGCAAACCATGCTAAGAACCAAAACCCGGTCGGCCCGAGAGTCGTTACAAAATGAGGCAAAAGCCAAAACTAGAGATAAGCCAAAAGAAAAACAAGAAAGAAAAAAAAAAATTTCCACTAAAGTTATACTAATAGGCAAAACCATTTGCTCTTTTTTTGGCCCCTTTACGAGAAGAGGAATTAGATGATGAAGCAGCCAATGAACAGTGGTCAGTTTTAGCCTTAATAGTTTCTTCTTCATCCATGAATATCTGTCTGCACCTGCACTCCTCGCTGCAAAAAGCCCTGTCACCTCTGCATACATAAAGACCCACCAGCTGTGTAAATTTCTGTCAACATATATATCCAGATCAAGCTGTCAAAATATTTTTATAAAAAAAAAAGGAAAGAAAAAGAAAAGACCCATATTAAGCTTATTTGTGTTTTTCTTGGTTAAAATATCAACATATTATTGATGCTGACAATCACTTGAGTGACTAGGAAAGAAAGAAAAGAAAGATTCCTCCAGTCTCAGATATATCCCCTTTCCTTTTCATTCTTCCTTTCTCTGGAATTTTTTTTTAACCCTAGAGGAATTTACAGCTTTTTTTTTTGGTTGGGGGTTTCTTCACTTGCAAAACCAGCTCAAACATGGAGCATCAACCAAATGAAGTGGAACTTCAAATGCCTATATAGTGGTTCAAAGATTTTTCTCTTTTTTTTCGTGTTTTTATCTCTAATTTTTCTGAAAAAATTCTTCCTCTTTGGTGCATGGAGGAGGCAACCAAGAGGGCTACAAGTAAACCTTTACTTCATATTAGGAGTAATAATTTGCACCAGGCAAGAGAAAAAAAAAAGTCGAAAACTTGTTGAAATATATTTGGAGGGTTGAAGACGGGAGTGAATCATGAGAAGCACTTACTTGTACATATAGATGTCCTTGCCAGGCAAAAGTTTCTGTCTGCAAAGGAAACAATAGTCAAGAAATCCACTAGTACCACATGAGAGGTTAAAGGAGCTGTTCCTTTTTGTGAAGGGAGAAGGAGAAGTAGGAGGAGTTGGAGAAGAAGGAGATGGTTTGATGATCATGCTGGCTTTGCTAATAACTTGGTGATGAGCACTTCTCTTGCTACTGATATCCTCGTATCCTTCTGCTTCTAGTACAACGCTTAGTCCCACCATTTCATGGTCTTTCTCCTCCAGCCCTTTCTTCTTCTTCTTCTCCTTCTTCTTCTTCTTCTTCTAGAGCTGGTGCCTGGTGGTGGGATTTGGTATGATACAGTTAATGAAAAGATGAGAAAAATAAATAGAAGCAAGAGAACAGGGTGGGGGTTGTAAACTCTTAAAAGGGTGAAATAGTAATAATGACGTGGTAGTAGTACAAAGGGAAGGGAGTCGGGGCGTGGGACCCTCCACGGAGCATTTTTTTTAATTTAGCATGGCAGAGGAAGAGAAATTTAGAGCAGGAAATACGGACGGGAGAGTAGCTTAGCCTACTGACATAGTACTATATTGATTTCTACTGCTCTTTCAATGCCACGTACCCCCTGTGGCTTTCAATTTCGAAATAATAAACTCATATTTCTTCTTAGTCGTAGTACTTGGTTGGTTTGCTTTTCTTTTTCTTTTTCTCTTTTTTTTTTTGAACTCACCAAAAAAAAAAAACTCTTGTTTGTCCTATTCTTCTTGATTCTTACAGTTTTACAGTCCTCAACTGTAACTTATTACTGCCCTTTTTGGGGTGTGGGCTGTTGAGCTTTTTTGCCTGTCTTCTTCAAGGAATGGCATGCCAGGTAGACTTGAGGGCTCAACCAAAACTCACGTATTTAAATAAGGTTCTACTTCTATAAGAATGACAACTTCCGTTCCCAATAGCGATTGAGGATTCTAATGAACTAACTGCCATTAAAATTCTTGATAGATCGAATCAAACTCAATTTAATGAGTCAGTGCTAGCTAGCTTCTTTGTATTCTTGGTAACACAAACGTTGTGTTCCTTTGAGACACACCGCTTCATTTGCCATGCTTATATAAACGAAGTTACGTTTAATTTATTTATAATGTGAATGCGCATGGCCATAGTTCTTTTTACCGTCTCATTTTGATAGTTTCATTTTTTTATTAATTTTAAATTATAATCTATTTTTAATTAAAAAAATATAGTACTACTGTTACTAACTTTTAATTTCTCTAAAAAGCTAGCGCTTACTTAATATGCTTTGTTATCCGTGAATATAACCTACTTTAATCATTAATAATTGTTTTGATTCATTGCCTTAATGAGAGATAACTTTTCATCAATATTGTTGTTATAATTTAATGTAAAGTTATAATGGTTCGTTATACAGCTAATACTTCCTTCCTTTTTTTATAACTGACGTTTAAGGTTTTGCACATCAATTAAAAAAGTTTTTCATTGTTTAAATCTATACACTACTTTCCTTTTGTACCCTCATTAATTGTCCAATTCACTCATGTTTTCTCTCACTAGAGTATTAAATAGTGCTGTTTTACTAGGTTAAAAGTAAAGAGAGAAGTAATAATTACTAGGAGTAGTAATTAAGAGCCCTGTATTGGTAAAGAGAGATAAAAGGGCAAAATTGTGAAAAAATAATTAATGCTGCATGGGGATAATACAACGACAGATAAAAGTACTTAAGAGCAAATTTCTTAAACGTCAGTTATAAAAAAAGGGAGGGAGTATTAATGTAGGGGTATTTCCTTCAACAACAACAACAACAACAAAAAAAAAAAAAAAAAAAGAAGAAAGGATTCTCGTTATCCAAACCCTTGTTTATAATTCAATACAATAGCTGTGGTACTCTACTAATGCCTGCACTAGCTAGCCTTGCTTGTAGGTGGTGTGTCCAATTCTTGATACCCCAAAGCTATAAAAGTGTAACTGGCTGGGAGGGATTAATTGGCCAAAACCCGTGAGCTGTAGCTACAACAGCGGCATAATCTGTGAGCAGGTGGCTTTAATCATCAGTTCCGTCGAACTCAAGTCCATATATATATATATAATTGGACTTTGGAAGTAGGTGAACAAAAGCTAGTTAATGGACAGTTCATCAGCAACATTAAGATTGAAGGGATAAAAACTTACGTGGAACCCGAATTGATGAGGCTAATCTAATCATCAGCTAAACTTTCACATCACATAAGTAGTAATTAATTTTGGTTAGCAGCTAAATGTACACGACACGCTGTCCACATATCATGACACTGGAATTTACCTCACTAAAAACAAAAGCTAATTAACCTTAAAGGAAGAGCAGGGGGGGAAGGGGGGGGGGGCCTCGATCATTTTCAATAGCCAGCTGAAATACATCTTTAAGAATGCTTCCAAATTTCGTCAAGTACATGAATGAATTCTTGAATCTTATACTGCTACCACTTAATGCTTCCTTCCTGCAGACTGCAGTGGTAAATGTAAATCTACAGGCAGCCCCCCCCCCCCTCCCAGATACAAAAACTACAAGACCACACCATGCATGTTGCTGTGCCCTCCTAAATGTACCATTTTGCGATTCAATTTTTCTTTATTTACCTTTTTTTTTGTGTTTGTGTGTGTGTGTGTGCAACAAGACATTCAATTCTTTGACCACCATAAGGCATCTGGCATGTCAAAATTGGTCCATATTTGCTTAATTTCTTACTTTTTTTTTTTTCAACACAGTGAGTATCTGGACCCATAGACTGATTATCGTACGGCCCAACTAATCCCACTGCGGGTTGGGAGCGGCTCGCCCCAAGCATCACCAGCCACGGTAGAACAGGGACTCGATCCCGGGACGTGGCTCTCCCCCAACTGGGACTACAACCACTGAACCGAACCTCGAGGGGCTGCTTAATTTCTTACCTTGAATTCAAATTATGTGCAGTTTACTGTTATGAATGTGTGCCCTTAGCTATTTGGACAAGTCATCAGCTGATAGATGAAAGCTTATTTTTGTTAAGAGTCAAAGTTGTAATTAGATTTTTTTTTTTCAATTCGGTTTTTGGGTTTGGTCCACGATAAACTGGCAATTCACCTGTGAATCCTTTCTTCTTCTTCTTCTTCTGGTTTTGGTCCCATAACTTTTTGCGATTATGGAATGCAACCCGTTTCTTCTTCAGGTTTGGGTACATATAACATATATAACATTAAAATTTCTAATTCTTACAATCTCAATATTAATCATTAGACTGATAATCCTTTTAATTCAACCCCAGGCTCTCCTCTCATATGTATTGTACGGTGACTATGTCGATTTTAATTTTAACAAAAGATATTCCGTTAACTAATTAACGTGCATGTCTATTGTGCATTTGTTAAATCAAAAAACGTCAACAAATTATATCAACCATAGAAGAAGACGAAGAAATTCGCAAAATCAACTTCTGATGAAAAAAAAAGGGAAAAGATAATCTCGAAGTCAAGAACAAGCCGCCAGCTTTGTGGACATACATGAAATCACGTACCATAATAAACATGAAACATAAATTTTTATTTTTTTTTTGTGTGTTTGTTGATAACCATGAAACATATACGTAAAGCTTAAGTGCCTCACGGGAACAAAATCATGCAGTTATACTTATCCAACAAAAGATAACACCTATTTCTCTAACCCACAGAAAGGCCGGGTGACAGCAACATTTGCTTCTTTTTCTTCTGTGACTCTAGAAAAAATTGCAAGAAACCTTTGACTGACTTTAATAAAATCTTGACTATATATGTGTGTGCGCACGCGCACGCACGAGAGTTAGTCAGCAATATATATATATATATATATATATATATATATATATATATATATATATATATATATATATATATATATATATATATATATGAGGTTGATAGTTTCTGATAAAATTGATATTCATGTCCCTAGCTAATTCGAATTTGAGTTAGCAGTAATCTAATCGTGCTTAGACACAACGAGGGAGGGGGGATTGAGAAAAAAATCAGGTAGTAGTGTGGCAATTATTGAAAGCGGGTTCTTTACGTACAGACTAAAGAAGAAATTAGTGTCATCATTGGAATTAATTCGTAAATAGAGGTTTTCGGCTTAAGATTAGTCGTCTTAGAAAATCAGAAATTAAAAAGACAAGAAACGGGTGAATCAAGGCTTGTTTGGTGCATGCATGTCGATTTTGAGCTTAGTAATTAAATTGAGATTAACAAAAGAAATACTACGAGGATCCGAAGAAATTAGTCATGCCAAACAAGGAAAGAATTTGGCGAGGTTGCTTCTCGTGCTTGTTATGTAGTAGTAGTAAGTAGTATCAACCATGCACGCACGCATGCATGCATCGCTCATCCCAGCGATGCACGTAGTTCCTTCAGCTGGGAAGCGCAAGGCGGTAGTACTCTATTTTATTTTATTATAGTTTAAAGGGATCATTTCCCTTGAGGTTTCTAATAATTTCATTCAAATTCTTTTAAAGACACTAACCTCTCTTGTATTTACTGTTTGGGACTTGGCTAGCTAACAAAATAAATCTTTAATTAAAATGACACAAATTCCATATCGAAATCCCAAATTATCCTTGATCAAAATAAAAAACCCTCCCTCTCTCTGACTCTGACACGTACTCTTTTTATATTTACTGCTACAGCCAAGCCACTGCGTTCTAACAATTCCATTCCATTTGTGTTGCTACTATGATAATCCTGATTAAGGCCACATGCACTCTCCGAGCTTTACAAACAAAAGAACAACAGGTGGAAGAAGAAAAAGTCGAATTAGAAATTTTATTGCCAGCGGATTAATTCTTCTTTTATCACTGATGAAGAAGCAGTCGAGTATACGAGTGGCAGAATTTGCTAGTCGAGTATACCAGTGATTGGCGACTTGGGTTACCTACGCCTCGTCGACCTATATATATATATATATATATTATAAAATAGAAGTCAATATTATTAATAAATTAGTTGGAAAACAATAAAGAAAGTTGCATTAATGTTAGAAAATACATTGCATATGTCACAAATATATATATATATATATATATGATCTGATAAATTATTAAATTTAATAGAATTACAAAATATAACAGATTACACCGTGAATCATAAATTATAAGATCTAATCAATTGCACAAGTTGTTCTATAAACATATGTGCATATTTATTCTCTGATATATCTGCTGTTCAATTGGTCCAAATTCAAAACTAATGTTGAGATTTGACGAGAAGGCTCGAGATATTCTATCTAACATATGGATTTGAAAAAACTCCTTATATTTGAAAAAAAAAATTAAATAACTGGTTCAAATTCAAAATTAATGTTGAGATCTGATGAGAAGATTTAAAATATTTTATATCACATACGGATATGAAAAAAATCATAAATCTGAAAAAAACAATTAAAACTAAATAAGACTTCCACTAGCTATGATAGGTTAGAAAAGAAA